GACCTCTGGGCTAAAAGATAGCACTAAAATCATATTTTGGAAAATGTATTTGGCAATATCTCTACTTTGTGAAAAAGCCATATTTCTTAGATAACCATTCTTGTGTCTCCATGCATCCACCAGCTCTAAATTTTCCTTTGTTTTAATATCTTTTTCAGATATTGTTCTGGACAAATTACTCCATTCAAGTCTGTTATTAAATACCAATTTTCATATGGTTTGTCAGTCTTGGTCTGATGCAAAGTACTTCCATCTTCACATACCTACCATCATCAGTTAATACCAGTTCAGGTTGTAATCAGGGGTTTGTGTACAAATCAATTCCACTTCTCTTTTTAACTCCTACTGAAATAATTTCTTAACTCAAATTTTTGCAAATCAAGTACTTTATATCTCTTTCTCTTATATTTTTCTTGCAGAAAGGTTACACCTTGTTTCATTTTTAAAAAATAATGAAATAATTTTCTTATTTTTTTGAGAAGCATTTCTTCCATTTATATTCCATGTTAGGCATTTATAATCCGTATTTATGCCAAAAGTTTAAAAACCCCAATTCTGTAGCACCTAGTGTGCTAGTCTCTCCCTCAGTCCTGTTAGAGCTATTCAGTATTCAGAGTGCTACAGCCCTTTGTCATTTCCATTTGCATTTCTTCCAGTTCTCCTTTAAACTTTTCTAAAAAATTCTTTTGCTTTTTGGATTTGATCTGTTATTTAAAAGTGAAGTTCGAGCCTACCAATTTATCCCATCAAAATGTTACCTTTTTTTGTTCAAGTTTTTCAATCAAAAAGAAATCCTCTTTCCATTTGGTTAATATTCTAATTGGAATTTCTTTAAGTACAATCATATCTGTATTATTAATCTTCAGTCTGGTAATAAAATGCTGCTGCAAAACTTGACCTTTGGTCTTCTTTCTGACAAAATGCACAAGAATCCCTCTTGGTACATTTCTTAATTTTGCAAATCACATATTCATTCTATAAACTTTATCAAATTCCACCTGCATACTGTTTTGTCTTCATGCCAATCCAGAAAGTTTGTTAAAGACAGAACATAGTTTTCTCTAGTGTCTTCTCCTAAATCCTTTGGAAGTCTTTTTCTTTCAATTCCAGTAATACTGAATTCTCTAAGCTCTTTTCCATCACTCTGTTTATTATTGTAAGTTACTTTTCTAAAATGTCCACTTTGTCATCAATATAACCTCTCCTGTAGGCGCATTATAGCTTCTTTTTATATACCTAATTTCTTCTTTCATTTCCTTTTTCATTTTTATACAGTTTTTTCCATTCTCTCTTCAAATGCAACCATTTTACTTTTAACACATTTCACATATTCAGATACCCGCTTTCCCATCTCTTCAAACAATTTTTGTAATATCTGTTGGAATAATTCCCTTTTCTGTTCTGGAACCTCTTCTTCCTACATTGTGCTTTGCAGTTTTTTTTGGTAGTCATTATTTTTAAAATTTATAATCCAAAAATAAAAATAAATGACAAAACTGAAGATAAGAAACAAGCTTCTCCCCCCCTCTTGTTCGCTTTCTCTATGCCCCTAAGGCTTCAATATTCACTCTTTTTCTCTATAGTTTTAAATATACAGTCCATCTGTTGTTACACTGATCTCCTTGTTTTGTAAATACCACCAATTATATTTCCATTTGATGGCAGACAATCAACATTCTCAGGAAGGTCTGCTCTGTTTATTTAATTAATTCCATATAACACCAAAAGCACTTTCATAAAAATCTTTAACCTTTCTTAGAAAACATCTTGATTAAGCTCTTTGCTGTTGTTTTAAAAATATTATTTTATTTTTTATTTTACTTTTTGTAACTCGGAAAGTTTCAGCCTCCTAAACAAACTGGACAAGAGAAACGACAAGTTGTGCTAACTCTATTTTATTATAAGGCTATATTAAGGGAATCTTGCAAGTCTGAAAGTACAAATGTCCTGCTATGTCTTTTTACTACCTGCTGATTTTGGGTAAATCATTTCTAAGTTTCTTTTTGTGCCATTAGCCAGTTACAGGTTCCTGCCCTGTTAATCTGATCTTTCCCTAGGCAGCATCTCTTCCCTGTTTTCCAATATCATTCTCACATTCCATTACAGGAGGAAAGCTGACATTTTCTTTGTCCTGCTATTATCACATGGTTATGCTATTGGAAAGAAATACATAGTACCGTATTTGTTATGTATTGAATATATATATAAAGTTGTGTTAATCCCTGCTAAAGTGAAACTAACTTAACTCCAATTGCTTGTGAAGCTAAAATGAAACTAACCTTTGGATGACCCTGACTGTTAACTCCAACTGTTTTGAAGGAAAACTTTGAACATTCATATTTGGGCGGGTTTTTCAAGTATTGTGATTGGTTAACGCCCTGTGGGCTCAGAGTATAAATTATAGGCAATTGCCTGCAGTTCTGCAGTTCTAGTTTGAGTCAATAAATAACGTTGTAACTATGCTGGTCTGCTCCTTGCCTACTGAAGCCCACTACACAATAGTATTATACAAAAAAAATCTAAAAATAAAACTTGAAACCTCATTTTTTTTTTTTTAGGATTTCTTCCAAATTGTATAAACAATCAATCAGAATACAGCTGGAAGGGACCTTGGAAGTCTTCTAGTCCAGCCTCCTGCTCAAGCAGGAGACCCTATATCATTTCAGACAAGTGGCTGTCCAGTAGGGTTGCCAGGTCTGCTTCCAAAAAATAGTGGACAAGCGGGGGGGGGGGGGTTAAGTAGTAAAAAAAGTAGACTGTACAGCTTTAGATTACGTACCATTTCATCCTAAAGCTTTTGAATAAAAAAATGTCCACTATTTTGTGAAAAAAAATAGTGAACATAATGTGAAAAAAGCGGACTGTCCACTCAAATAGTGGACACCTGGCAACCCTACTGTCCAGTCTCTTCTTAAAAATCTCGAGTGATGAAGCACCCACAAAGTCTGAAGGCAAGCTGTTCCATTGCTTAATTGTCCTCACTGTTAGAAAGTTTCTCCTTAATTCCAGGTTGCTTCTCTCCTTTGTTAGTTTCCATCCATGTTTCTTGTCTTGCCTACTGGTGCTTTGGAAAATAAATTGACCCCCTCCTCCTAGTGGCAGCCTCTCAAATACAGAAATATTGCTACTCATGTCCCCTTAGTCCTTCTTTTCTCTAGACTGGCCATACCCAAATCCTGCAACCGTTCTTCATATGTTTTAGTCTCTAGGCCTTTAATCATCTTAGTTGCTCTTCTTTGCACTTTTTCCAAAGTCTCAACATCTTTTTTGTAATGTGGTGACCAAAACTGGATGCAATATTCCAAATGTGGCCTTACTAAGGCTTTATAAAGCTGGACTACTACTTCACGTGATTTTGATTCTATGCCTCTGTTTATACAACAAAGGACTGTATTAGCGGTTTTGGCTGGGCCACACACTGCTGACTTACAATTTATTAAGATACATGTTGATGGTTATATAGACAAATTGGAGGGGGGGGGGGAAAGCATTTTAATAATGATATCAAACTTGAGTTTTGAGATTGGTCTCAAAATTACTTGTTTCACCACTGTTGTGACTGCAAGAAGTCACTGAATGAGGCAATTTATAAACAAGTACTGCCTGTTTGTTAAGAATGGAAGTTTAATTAAATTCAAAGAAGAATGGCATCCTTATATTTCATATATCTCACAACAATCTTAAATATTTACAGTATGATACATTTCCTAATATATTGCTTACAATCAATGGCTGGAATATAATGAGCAGGAAGAGCACAATTTGTAAGCAAGTGGTTTTTAATAGCTAAGTGCTTTACAGCACTCTCTGGGTGGTTTACAATGTCAGCATATTGCCCTCAACAATCTGGGTCCTCATTTTACCAACTTTGGAAGGCTGAGTCAACCTTGAGTCCTGTCAGGATTGAACTCCTGCCTATGGGCAGAGTTTGCCTGCAATTCTGCATTCTAACCATTGTACCACCAGGGTTAGAATGTTCAGGTGTGATTGTTTTCTTTATATTTTTCTCTTTTTTCATTTTCTTCTTTTGTATATTAGTAATAACTTTTTTCCTTTTAAATGTTTCTAAAAATAATTTATTAGAACTTATAATTTCATAATCTTATTGTATATTATTCCTGACATTTGTATTCTGCATAGAAGTTACTAGTTATTGCGGATCAAAGCTATTTCAGTATCTTTAATCACTTAGGAATATGGAAAAATCTTAACTTCATATTTGTAAATTCCTTTTACTTACCTGATTCTATTTCTATACTAATTTTTCTTACACACAAATATTTTTTTAAAAAAAGCTAAATATAAATACCAATCAGGGAAAGAAAAGAAAATAATTTGAGAGATCTTAGGGAGCAAAGTAGAGAAATTAATTATTCTATGACTACAAAGAGTATTACAAAAATCTTTCCTCAGGGCTTTCCCATTTGTTTTAAATGAATGGATGATTTCCCCTAAAAGCAAACAGCAGTTCTGAAGGTGTGCTTTTATTAGCATTTTATTAGTTAAAACTCCCCTCAGTGCCCACTATGAACTTATTAGCTGTCATTTCTTCCCAGAATCTCTATTTAAGAAGAAATGTGCTAGCTAAACATAAAAATGCTTTTATTATCTAGCACCTATTGGTTACGTTTTATTTATTCAACAGATTTATATGGCTGCCCATCTTCCAGTGGAACTCTGGCAGAGAAGAGAAAAATAAAAAAGTTGTCCATAGTACTATTTTGTACAAACCACAAAATCAATTAAAAGAAATATTTGGAGGCATTGTAAGAAACACCTTTAAAATATGCTTTTCTTTTTAAAGATGCTTTTCTCACAGAAACCTAAATGTCTTCATTTGTGAAAAAAAATCTTTAGAGCAAAAAAAAAGAGTGAAAGAGAGGGGGGGAGAGAGAGAGAGAGAAAGAAGGGTTTATAAGATAATGTATCCACATAATTGCTTATTTTAACCATCCCTGTAATAAAAATGTACCTCAATAAACAAAAATCTTTCTACATACCTGTTTTTCTGTTAGAATGACTCTCCCTAGAAGCTGATCTTCTAGGCCTTTCATGGTGACAGTAAAATCAATGATTGAGGTACGAGCACTAATCTCAGGGGTATAGGCTGGATTTGGTAACTTGGTGGTGATATAAAGTCTGAAGCCATTCATCACATCCATTTCTTTATCCCCAACTTTTACCTAATTAACATAAACAATTCCAAAATGGAGCTTACAACATGAATTGAACTCCTTCAAAGAAGAGGTGGACATTTATTAAGTATTCTTTTAATTGTGTGTAAATAAAACACCCTTAACATAATTATTATGTAAGTAAAGTTGCACATGTTAGCATAAGACACATACATGACATTTCTAAAACTAAACCATTCTATATAATTTTCCATATCTTTATCTGCTTTATAAATTTTGCTGATCTCTGTTTTTTCCTCTGCTGCTTATAGGTTAATGCTTAGAAAACTCTAAACAATCATACAGAATGAAGCTTAGATCCCACATTTTAAAGTCACATTCTGGGAATCTTTATTTTTAATTGTAAACCTAAAAATTAATTGAAAAGTAAGTTATTGAACTCAACAAGTATGGAAGAATGATAAATAGAAAATACTTGTTTCTAAAGTGAAAAGATTGCAGGCAATTAAGAAGTTTCTCATATTTTAAATTGGCAAGATAGTTCTTTTAATATCCCACTAAAGAAAAGAAGAGATATAACCCCAGTGGTGGGATTCAAATATGTGAATAACCGGTTCTCTGTGTGGATGACACTTCCGGAAGTCCATTCTGGGCCTGGGCAACAAAAAGTTAGCTACCGGTTCTGCCAAAGTGGTACGAACTGGCTGAATCCCACCACTGTATAACCCACTAAAGTTCCAGAATAAAAACTCTTTATCAAAGGATTTTTTTTTAAGTATTGTACTATGAAATCACCATAAAAAGTATAGCGGACCACACAAAAAATGTAGCTGATAATTTATTCTAATAAAGCAAAAAGTAAAGACCGCTGTAATCTATTCTGTTAAAGGTTTCTTGTTGACACCAAAGTCAAAGACAGAATTGTACATGAAAGTAAAAACTAGAATTATATATGCAACTAAGTTTTTTTTGAAGTTGCAATATGTTATTTTTCTCACTTTGTATGTAGAACCTGTTTTGATGAAGTTTTTTTCCAATACGTGGTCCAAAGCTGGATCCAACTCCTCACCAACATCTTCAATCAACAATGGTCTTCCAAGAGAGAGACTATCTTCCAAGTGGTTTCTAAAATACTTATGATTCAGAGAAGTGATCTGAAAAAAGAATCATAAAGTTCATAAAACTATGAAAATGGGTCACCAGCGTGGGGGAAGGGGAAGGACATCAGACTTCAGTTGAAAAGAAATAGCTGCTAAACTAAAAGCTTTATTAACTAACCAGGGTTAAAGATGAATTTTAATCTTCAGGAACAAATCATAGCTATATTAGAACATTATTTGTTTATGATGTGTTTAGGAAATTTATATTCCCCATTTTCACTGTTAACAAATTCAAAACAGGAATGTAATCCAATTAAGTTTTAAGCTATATAGCTTTTCAAAAAGTTAGAAACAACAGTAATTCCTATGCAAAAACCCAGCCTAAAATATCAATACTGCTGGTTTCCAAATGAACTAAAGTTAATTTTGGCAAGTACAAGTTCTTCGTTACAGTGTATTGCTTTGGAATATTTCCAAGTACTCTTTCCACTTTTTTGCTGCCATCCTGATGTCATGTGTCTGATTAACGAAACACTTAAAATAACTTTCAGGCATTTTTTTTAACCTAAAAGCCTTTATTAAGGTTACAGAGATGTCAGTACGGCATGGTGGAATGCTAAGATCTGATTTTCTTTTCCGTTGCACATACATTCCAGGCATTTTTCCCTCCCCTATTTTGGGGTCATGATTCACATCTTCCAATTAACTTGGAAGATGTGATTCACTTCCAGTTCCTTTTTCCCGGGCTTTCCTTATTCGATCCCCTTTCACTGTTGCCTGATTTAACTATAAAAATACCAGACAGTTCTGCATATTGTCAAAGCAAGAATATACAGTATTTGCAGCGTTGACACCTGAATCTGTTTACTTCCAAATATGAATATAATGCCCCAGAATTTAATTCACCTGTAGCTCATTCCGGGTTTCTTTGTTCTTAATCCAAATCTTGCCCTGAGTTTGTGGATCAATCAGGAGAGGGTAACGAGCTGCCTTTGTGGCAATGATGCCATTCTGAATTGACAGATCATCATTTGGCAGCCCTTGAAGGTTCCACTCACTGACGGTTGGCGCATCAATCAGCATCTCTGTGAGATTGAGATTGTTTCCAAATGGGATTTTCCGAGTTTTCATTTCTTTTTCCCAGCTGGTTAACAAAAGATTACGGAACTCTTGGTTGAAAGGACCAGAATAGGACAGAAAGGCTGTGGCCAGAAGTACATCCCCTAAATTGATATAGAGAAAAAACACATTAGATGGTGGTTGAATCCATTTGCAGTGAATATGAAAGCAAACATTCGAGCTAAGCTTAAAAAGTCTTGGTCATGTTTCACTATGAAACAGGCTGCTGGGGAACCTCTTGTTCTTTAAATATTTGATGACTATTTATACAGAAGAGAAAGCAGAAAAGAGGCATCTATGATGTGACTATTCTGACTAGTATTATGCCACGCTTTCTCTCCGTGAGCAACTTTTAGCTTAATGTGCTAAATCACACAGAGATTTCTTGCACCAGGACAAAGTGGAGCCAATTTCTACTAGCTGATTTTGTTATAGCCATATTTAGTGGAAGAAAGAGCACGCGTGTAACCAACAATCCCATTACATGTACACAGTATAAAGGGGAAAAAAGCTGTGGCATGGGGAAAGGTATTTGTTTTTGTTACCAAAAGGAAGAAAATAGGCAAATTTATCCTGGATTAATGAACTCAGGATGAAAGAGAAGCAAACAAGCCCCTGGCTTAAACACATTTCTCTCTGGAATCTGATTTTCTACATCAGTGTTTGTCTATGGAGATGCTCAGTCATCCAGGTCATGATTGTCCCAAAGGTCCTTTTTTCAAAAGGCAACTGAATTTTCTTTGTTTTTCCTTGAAGATGTTTCATTTCTCATCCAAGAAGCTTCTTCAGTTCTGACTGAAGAAGCTTCTTGGATGAGAAGCGAAACGTCTTCAGGGAAAAACAAGGTCCGATTGTCTTTTGAAAAAGCACTTCTAGTAGATCAGTGATTCTTATCACCACTGATCAATGACCCCCCCTCTCAGTGTTCTGCAAAAATTATTTTCCAGCCTATGTTGAAAAATAATACAATATTAAAATTCTACCAAAACAATTGTGAGAAGCACAATAAAAAAAACAATGGCCGATCTAGATTTAGAAAGCTAACTTTGTTAGTCGATTTCTTGCTTGTATTACCATAATATTAGCAAATTGATAGTGACATGTTATTTCATGACTTGGAGTAAATCTCATCCTTCAAGACATAATTTTAGCATACAAACGTTCTTATCAACACAATGTCATTATTTATCAAAATAACAGAGAATTCCCTGCTGTTTTTAACACAAAAGACTGAAAATAAACAGGAACACAATTTACATACTTGCAGTTTACACTTGCTAAAAAGTACTCAATGCAGCTTATAGCTTTGTAGAGCAGGGGTCCCCAACCTGCGTCCCACGGCCCACGACAAGGCTGTGGCCTACTGGCCACTGGGCGCGGAACAGGCTGGCCAGTGCATGCACATGTATATGCGCACTCAACCCCACTCATGCTAGCACCACTGCTGTTATGCAAACGGGGCACTGCGTGGCAAAAATAGGGTGCTGCTATGTAAATAGGGTCACGCGTGGCGTGAAAACTGGACAGCGTGTGGTACAAAAATAAGGGAAAACCTGGTGTCAGGTGGTGGAAAAACTGGGGGCTACCCAGCGTGAAAATGGGGGAAAACTGGGTGGCGCAAAGCGCAAAAATGGGAGTAAACCAGGCGGCGCATGGTGCAAAAACAGGCGGTGCGCGGTGTGAAAACCAGGTGGTGCATAGCGTGGAAATGGTGAAACCAGGCAGTGCATATCGTGAAAACAGGTGGCGCAAAAATGGGGGCAAACTGGGAGGCGCATGGCACGAAAACCGGGTGGTGCACGGCGTGAAAACCAGGTGCCGCACGGCACGAAAGTGGGATGATGCTAACGCCCACGCGGCAAAACTGGTGCGGTGTGAGTGTCACATGGACGCTAGCACCACTGTTTGCATCGCACATGCTTCAGCCCCGTTTGTGTGCGTGTGCGCACATAAAATGCTTCTCTCTCCCTTTCTCTCTGGTCTGCCAACCAAGAAAGGCTGGAAACCTCTGTTGTAGAGCACCGAAAGGACAGTCCCTTCAGCTTACCCACAAGCCTTTTTGTCTGGGCTGCAAACTCTTTACTTTGTTCAGTCCATCTCTCTTTTTCATCAGCCAACCCACTAATAAGACTGGAAGCAGTCTGCATTTTATGCCTGCAGCGTTCTGCATCTTCAAGCAATGTCTGTTCAAAACAAAAATTCACATACACAAATGGCAACTTGAGCCAAAAAGTATTGCTAATAAGGCTTGAAAAGATAAGTACAAATCCTATCTATTGTACTTCCAGCAAATATAAATATCCTGTTGTTTCTATTAACATTGTCAGTGCATCTGGACTTATTTCTTATAAATAATTGGGACATAGTCTATGGAGATTCTCAGTCATCCAGATCATGGTTGTCCCAAAGGTGCTTTTTCAGGAGGCAACTGTTGCCTCCTGAAAAAGCACCATTGGGAGAATCGGGACATAGATTTTACACTTATCAGACATCTGACAAAAGACATATAAAAGAGGTCTATCATGAATTCATATGTCACATTAAGACAGACATTTGACCAAGTGCCAAATGTGCCTGCCCTGCAGAACAGCATCCCCAGAGATCCAGATAGCCTCAATCCTATTAGACTTTTGAGTCTTTTGTGAGGCACTAAAACCTGACCTTTCTCCAGGCTTTTGGGCAAGTTAGCTGAGCAATCTTGGTTATGTGGTTTTTTGTTCGGGGTGGTAGTGGTGTTGTTTTAACTAGGTAAATGGGAAGAAGGAATAACCTTAAGGAACCAGAAGAAAAGCCACAACTAAGGCAAAAGTCAGATAAAAGAAATCTGATTTTGAGCCAGAATTGCAACCTATCTCAGACAAGACCCTCTCTACTTCTTACAATAAAAGGAGGGAAGGAGAAAGCACACTCAGACTTGCAAAATGTTACTATAACCTGATAATAAAAGTAGTATTAGCATGCCTGACTTTGGTTTCCTGGTTTGGTCTATCTTGAAGGGCTGACATCAGGGTATCATAGGTTATATACTATTATAGTGATTTTAATCATTGCTGGGAGTTGGGCAGCCTAGATTAGATAGATAGATAGATTAGATAGATAGATAGATAGATAGATAGATAGATAGATAGATAGATAGATAGATAGATAGATAGATAGATAGATAGATAGATAGATAGATGATAGAATATTTCAGAAGCTAAATAGCTGAGCTATCTTCCCAAATGACCAGAAAACCATTTTTTTTCTCGCATTCTTGAATAACTCAACATGTACTCATTGTGGTAATATTTTCTTTACTGTTTTACAAAGCAGCCAAAGTGAATGGCTGTGCAAACGAATTCCCCGTACCCTACAGGAAGTTACCTGTTTCTCCAATGTGGCATTTTCATATTGAGCCTGCACAATATCCAGCTCAGCTTGCTTGGCATCCAATTCACCTTGGGCTGTCTGAAGATCTAACATGGCAGTGGTCAGAAGATTCTCCTGGATGGCCAGATTTGCCTGAAAACATCAACCCACCAAGTTTAAATAAGGGAACTTTGATACACACTGTGTACCTTTTCAATAACAGCAACCAAAGAAACATGAATAGCTTATGATGAAGTCAATTACTTATACAGAGAGAATTGTTGAATTAATATTGCTACAACAAAATACTTATCATCTTGATATGCCATACTAATGTGGACAAAGACATTGGCAGCTGGTCTGTTATATGCCCAAAGATGGAAAGAGTAAAATATACCCACAATGGAAGAATGGATTTTTAAACTAACAGAACTAGCTGAGATAACTAAATTTCTTGTGACTTGTAGGCCACTGCTTGATTTCTTAAAAGAAAAGGAGAAAAATTAATTTTTGACTTTGAGATTTGAAAATTAGATTGGATTGGATCAGAGAAATATTGTGGCTTTTTAAATATAAGGTTTTTATATATTTGACAATTTAGTATTTGTTAAAGTTAAGAGAAGAATATTTTATGAATATTGTTATTTTAGAGTGTTGATTAGTAGGAATTTAGGAGATTGGTTTATCTGTTTAAATTTAGAAAAGGGTTCTATTTTCTCTGAACTAAAAGAGAGAAGGAGGGAGAAAGAGGGATAATAGATTAACAACATAAACAAGATTGATAAATATAAAATCTCCCAGGCCAAATTTATAGTCTTTTTTATAATTTTTATAATTTAAATCCTTCTCTACTACACAAACAAAATAATTTCTAACATTATGGCAGGATTGCCATATCAGTGGAAGCTAGGAGAATGTTTTGTCTTGCTCTCCAGGAAGCAGAGAGAGAGAAGGTAGACATCAAAGAGGAATTATTTGGACATAGGTTTAAAGCATCCCTTTTCACCTTTTAAAATCTTCCAATGACCAAGCAGGACCAAACATGGGAATGGACTGCATTTGGACAAAAGAGAAGCCCACTCTGTCTTTGCACATCACATTAAATCAAAACCAAGCAAACCTCATTATAGCTTAGCCCAGCATGTGATCCTAGTTTAAAATTGTAAACTGCTGTAGATATAGTTTTACTCTACCTTGCCAACTATATTCTACGTACCTTTAAAGGTAGAACTTCTTTATTTATAGCGAAGAAGGCAGCCATTGCTTTGGTCCATGAGCAAAGGCCAGCCACATTTCCACAGACTCTCTTAGCTGTCTCAATATTGTAATCTGCCATTTCAAAATAAGGACTCAAGAGCTCCACTGCTTCTTCATTAATTGTATCTTTTGGAAATTGCTAGAAATATCATGAAAAAGAATTTTTTTCACTTATCCAAAATCAAACAAAATTTTAAAAACCCAATTGTTTAATTGTACCCCTTCTTTTCTAAGCCACATCTTCTACAGAAATTGTATTCAAAAAGTTATTAATTTTGTCATGCTACTATTTGTGTTCATGAAAGCTTGTCTGTTTAATTTCTACTTTCCTGATCTTTACTGTGCCTGGATTTTAAACTGGTGCCTGTTTATACTACTGCCATCTACATTAAGTGCTGCATTTTTCTACAAGAATTATTGGGCAGCAAAATCTCTATTAACACTTTACCTAGAAGGACCAAAGGCAGAAATAAGAACAGTCTTTGAATTTCTCTCTGAACTTTTCATATTAACTGATCATCAGTCCATTCTCTCCAATTTCCAACTGGTAATTGTCAAACTGTGGAAAGCAGCAGTGCAGTCCCTCAATACTAAACATACTAAATCCAGACTAAAGCTATATATTACACATTCATATCTTGTCCGGCCTTATCATCTTTTTTCTTATCAGTGCTTTTTTGGTATACCTGCAAGTTCTGTAAGAAGTTTCCTGCTGTCATCAGTTTCAAGGACTCCTGCCATGATGTCATAATGCAATTTTTCTCTAAGTCTATCTTAGTAGCATTTACTTTCCTCTGGAATAGCACCAACACACAGTCCATGATACGCATGATAAGATGAGGTGGCCGACCCAGTGTACGAACAGTGGCAATGTCTGCCGGCTTGATTGTCTACATTATTGAAAGGATGGACAGAATTAGGCACTATCACAGTATTTTTAAAGTGCTTGAACAAAAGCAGCAGGCTTTTCATTTAAAGGCATTCCACGGTGGGTTCAACATCAGCCAATTACACCAAACTACTGTATATTTAGAAATTAAGATAATTAACAATTTACACTTGTTGTTAAGCCCAGACCACGACAAGCATCAAATCTTGGTATGTACTTATCCATCCTTTGCATAAAATCATTTAAGACATATCCCATCATATCAGGTAATAGCCCCTAGCCAATCTTGGTGTATTTCAAGGAATTAAACAGGATCAGATATATTAATATTTGGAAGGGAGCCTAACAGGAAACCACAGGTTTGTAGGCTAAACAGTGGCAAACCATGTTCTATGTTGTTTCCAATAACATTACATCAACATGTAGTAATAAGGGAGTGTTTGCCTTATTTAAAATTATTTTACAATAGCTAATATATGAATATGGGCATGTACTTCTGCATAAGTGCGCGCACACGCACACACACAGAGAGAAACATTTCTAAGCCTGTTTATGAGATTAGCTGATACAGATTAATAAAAGAGAATTACAATAACTGTTTCAACTTTTGCCTTCAACTGCTCTGAAGTGAAGTGATTATTGTAGTTAATGTGGATGCTGGAGAACAAAACATATTTGGTATAGGTAAATGTTAGATGCTATTCCCCAGACTGCGATCATAATGTATATATCACATCATTTCTCCGTGTTTCTGCATCAAATGGTAGTTCTGTTTCTGTCAAATTAAACAGGCAGTGGTTATTTGAATTGATGTGGCCTGCAGTTAATTCTTCTAATGCTTTCTGCCAAGTGGCTGATCTCTGGGTTGTAAAATGTGAATGCAAATCAGTCATTTTACCTACATATTGACAGTGACTCCTTGGAAGTTTATATTTAATAACATTAATTACATTGCAGGACCTACAGGGGACTGCCTGATATATGAAAATCCTGACAATCTTTAATATTGGCTGACTTCTTGAAAGAAGCAGATGATGCAACATTTGGGCTCAGAAGAATGTGATTAATTCCTTCCAATAAATGCAGTTCATTGGTACTCTGTGTAGAGTTAGTAACTGTAGAATGCTATGACAGGGGATTTTTTTTACTTCTTTGACATGTTTTCACTAATAACAGATACCTTTCCTGTCAAGTTGGAGATTGCAGGGTCTATCACCAATGCTATGTGTCATTTTCTTTTTGTAAATTCTTTTCATACTGGGGTTCATTCACTGTATGAAATATATATTTTACACGTAGAGACTAAACCCCAAGTATGAATAAAACCTGAGCAGCTATCATAGAAAGACAGTGAATCAAGGGGATGGCTGCGGGGGGTGGGGGATGACATAATTTCACCCATAATGGAAAGGGAAAGAAGAGAGCCCACACATTACTGTTTCCAATCTGGGGTATATTTCTGAGAGGACAACATATCTGTGCGAGGCAGACAGTGGATTTTCCTTTCATCCTTTATTAACCTGTAAAGCAGCTTCGGCCTCTTCTAAAGCAGGTTTAGCAGCCTCTAATTTTTCCTCAGCACTAGCCTTGTCTACTGAAATTCTGTCTACAATAGCCTGGGCCTTGTCCTTCACTTTCTGAACTTCGGCTTTCACCTTTTCAGCAGCCTGAGCTTTCACTGTGACTTCTTTTAACACCTATGGAAGACATAAAAAAAAAGAATGGAAGAAAATAAATGGAGAAGCAAGTAATTATGGTTGCAGAAAACAATTCTTTGCCAAGAGTTTACATACTCATCAGTTAACAAAATTCTTTGGCTTCAGTAAACAAGCAGTGTGAGATCCCATAGGCCCAAAGCAACCTAATGTTTTGTTACACGATATTTACACTTATCATGTTAGGCTGGCTAAGCCCCAAAGTGCATGGGGCTACGCATCATGTAGGTAAGGCTAGAATTTTTTATGGGTTCTTAATAATTTTATCTGTGATATATGCTTATCTTAGGACTTATAATGCGACTTTCTTCTGATTCTCATTTCAAAACAGCCAGGTATTTTAGCATCCAGAGGCAGAAGGACTGCAGATGGAGGAGACCTAAGGGCTGCATGTTATATGATGTGGCCTTTTTAGGACAAACAATACCAAGAATCTTCAGCTAACCATAACTGAAATTCAGAGAGTTAACATTTGTAGAAGGGCACCAATTAGGAGAAGTCCCCTAACTAATTTTCTTTCAGGTTTTCCCATTAGTGAAAGAGTTGAAATAAACACTCTGGATTTTACCATATCAGCTTTTTCATTGGCAATCTTAAGTTCTTTCTCTTTGGCTTCCAACTCTTTACTCAAAGCAGCCACAGATTCAGAAGCCTCTTTCAGTTTCTCCAATCCAGTATTCATTCTGAAATTTATAAAACCATCCTTTATACCGCATTTTAATCACTGTGCCACCACGGCTCTTCACAAGCCTTTTACAAGCAACCAATTCAGATCTCTTAAACATATATCAGTCCCTTACCAGTATTGAGACTGGTTATTGAGTTTAGCTATTTAGCAAGACAATAATTGACTATAAGTATCAAAATACTTCACCTGTGGGCCAAGGTCTGCACCTCAGCATGTTTTTCTTTGTATATAGCTTTATATCCTTGAATAAAGGACAAATAAGATTTGGGAGTCACATGGGTTGATCGACGATATCTTTGAAAGTAGTCAACGCATTTTTCAGCAACTCCATCTTGGAAGGAACCCATACACTGCACCATCTGTTTTTTTATATCTTCAGTGCAATCAATTTCATATGACGACAAGAAATGCTCCGATACTAAAATGAGATTTAACACCTATTAGTATAAACACTATTTCATTCTCTGGCATAAGAAATTCAGGATGATTTCTAACCTATTTCTTGGCTAAAAGCATAAAATTATTGTGAGGGAAAACAAGACTAACCCTGTAAATTTCTTTTCTTATCCACGCTTATTATTCTTCCCCACCCCCTACATCTCACTCGTTATCTTGGACTTCTCTCCTTCCTTGAAAGGAGCAAAATCAAGTATTTGAGCTCCTCTAACATGCACACTTAATAGATAAGTATGAACTAGGTGATATCCAGGAGAATTCCAGTGGGCAGGGAGTCAACTTGGAAGTTATAGCCTCATGATCGGAAGTCCACCCATTTTTTACATGTTTTGTGTGTGCACTGCACATCAAAAGAAGCAGATTTCAACTGCATGAGGATCTTGAGTTTTTGACATGCCTCTTATTTGCAGATGCCCCTGATGATCTCAGAATTAAACCCATGACCTCAAACATCTAATATATTGATATATTCAACAACATTAAATCATTGCTAACTATATGACTTTCAAGACATGCAAATTATAAGCGAAGGGAGCTGAATGGTTTTAATTGCCAAAGTAATTCCAGTCTTGGCATATTTTTCTTTCCTTTTTTTGATCCAGGAGGTTAGACATTATTATTTCTGCTCTTTTCTTATTTGTACATCATAGGATGTCTGCTTATCATCTCAGGAGTGAAATCAGCTTATTTCTTTTTACTGATGGGTAATCCTCCTTCTGTAATTATTGGGAGCAAAACTAGTATTCTTGTCTTGATAAAATTAAGAATCCCCTTGCTTTAAGAATAAGTAAATGGGCCTCATTTAATTTTGTCATTTGCATTTCTCACATCAAATTATCTGTTTCAAAGAAAGACATTCAACTGCAGTATGCTTCCTCAATCACTAACGCTTCACATGTGGAGACAGAAAAGTCTCTATTATCATCACCACTGAAATCCCACCAACACAGTAATTTCCTTGTATAGGTTACTCTAATTTATTCAAAACTTTTGAGTCTTGCCAGACTATAAAAATAATACATTTAAATTTTGAAGATAATGTTCTCAATTTTTTTTTCTCTGGAATGGGAAAGGAAGATATAATCAACGTATATGCATCAAAGCAACTCTCCAAATAGAGTCTGAAACAGTTTTGCTTCCACAACTTCTCTGTTGTTCTACTCAGAATACAAAATTGATCTCAGAGAAAAGGATGTATTAGAAGAAGAGATTTTCATCATGTTAAAACTGTGGTGGAAAAACCATGATACTTACATCAGAAGACAAGACCACAAAGGGTTGGAGAACACAGGTTTATTTGCGCAAAGGTTCACAGCATTCATATGACAAATTCTGAACACTGGGCT